CATAAGTTTGCCAGATCACAGAACCTATTTGTGTAGGTCGTGATGTCGGATCCAACCATTTGTAGACCCCAGAATTCCTGCTCGAGTTTTTGTAGTTCACCTTGAGGACAATATTCTTTCATCAGCATTTCTTTCAACTTTTCCCAGCGGATAGAATATGCCACCACCAGAGTCAGATACTTAACATGGTCGTTCCACCATGTTAGTGCTCTGTCAGAGAAGGTACAAGTTGCGAACTTGACCTTGTTGCCTTCTTGGCATCCGTAGATTTCAAAGACAAATTCCATCTTTTCAATCCATTGCCTTAACACCATAACCCACCAGTACCATTGAAGTTGTGGGGTTTGGCGTTCGTGAAGTCCTTATAGGTGCATTCCCGAGGGTACGCATGGCTTTCACCTTGGTTCGAGGGAGGTGCACCTGATCCCAATCCACTAGGGCCAGGAGCATTGATTGCTAACACAACAACTGCAACTCCCGCTGTGAAAGCTGCCTGGAACATGTTGCCATCGAAAGGAGTAGGTGGTTGAAGAGGTTCAGGTGGAGGTGGAGGTGGAGGTGGTGGTATCGGTGCTTCGTTGTTTGGGTTACGCCTGGTATTTCTGCGTGGCGGCATCTTTAACTATACGCTTAAATGATGAAGACATGGATAAGAATAAATGATTAATGAACGTGTCTCATGGACTAACTCCCCATAGTCCAACAACAGAATGAATAGAATGACTAAATGAAGATGACAACATTTGGATAATGATTTCCATAAGATTAGATATATGTCAATAATACTGGAATTACAGATGTAACAAGTTAGGGAAAAATGGCCTAGAAGTAGGCCTTACATCAACTAAGATGGAAAAGTTTGATAGAATTAAGACTAGATCAAGACCTAACAGGTCTAAGATTTATAAAGATAGGAAATTAGATCAAAGTTTTTCATAAACTAGGTTATATCCAAAAGATGAGTCGACCAGATTCTATCGGCGACGAGAACTTCTAGCATGAGTTCTTGATCCCGATAGTAGACGTTCCATGTCCCTAACACGCCTGTCAGCTCTCACTTGCTGAGACCGAAGTTCCCTAACTTTAGCTTGAGTTTCAGCAAGTTCCCTCTGCAGATTTGCATTGCGGACCAGAGTCCTTTCATGAGCAGACTCTAGTTGGCGAATGTGGACAATGTTAACGCCAGAGTTGGCTTCAATCTCCACGACTCGGTTAATAGTTGCTTGACCCAGTATCATGATTCTGGAAATTCTACGAACCATGATTGGTAGGACTCTATCAGCAGAACCTTCTTCAGTGAGGTTGTAGAAACTTCGGTCTCCATTGTAAGGAATGGGCTGACCCTGTTCATGACTCCATGTAATCAAGTTAGTGGACCACAGAGGTGTGGGTCCTTGAAACACAGGGCGGGGGTTCAGGTTTGGGTTTTGAGCAGTTGGGGGTAGGTTGTTGACTTCAGGCACCGATTCAGAACTATCGGAAAAACCCTCAGCATGGTGATCATCCAAAGGGATTGGGTGATCATTTTCTGGTTCTGCCTCTAGCCAACCAGCATTGCCTTGGTTTGGGAAGTACGAATCTCCATGGTGAAATCCAGCCATTTTAATCTACGCGAGAAAAAGGATATAAGAAATAGCTAAATAGAAGAACTATTAAGATAATTACAGTAAGACCAAATACCCCTATGATATTTCTTTATGGTTGTGTTGGTAAGTTTTTAGACTTGTTGCCATATCACAACCATTCTTGGGCATATGCTAATCACTCCTCGGACCAGCATAGTTGATCAGGCTATGCCATTCCCAAGACTGACCATATATCCCCAGGCTTACTTGTGATATTCAACAATCATAATACTTTTGTTCTTGTCATTGTGACATTGGTTTTAGTATGAATGCATGCACGTATACTTTTTTAAATATTTTATTATTTAAAAATATAACTCTTAGACAAAGTGTTTTAATCCCAATGTATTTATAGTTAGTATATCTTTTATGGGTTGATATACTATATTCACTATAAACAATGCTCTGATACCAATCTGTCACACCCGAAAACCACGAACGACGGAAACGTTCAGGAGTGAAGGACGTCATGTACAGTATCACAACAGTGTGAAATAGTAAACAAGCAACAACATCATCCATTGCATTATAGGTAAAGTTTTAATACATGTGTATTCTTTCATTGTAATAAGACACCAAAAATATATAATCAAAATAAAAGACGAGACTTGTCTGTGCTCCATCTTCTCAAAACCTGGCCAGCGTACCTGGCTACTGGTGAGCTGAGAATACAAGTTATTTTGAAAGAGAGTATCAGCTTTAAAGCTGGTGAATTCATAAGTATTTAAGTGTCATTGTCTTGCTTTGTAAAGCTGTTATGAATGTCATGAAAAAACTTTAGGTAAGACAGTTGATATAAGTACGAAAATCCCTAAGAAATCCCTTATTTCCTACTAGTATGAAATGTAGTCTTCCACCAAGACCTGAATATTTTGTTATGACAATGTAGTCTTCTACCAAGACCCGAATGTTTTGTTATGACAATGTAGTCTTCTACCAAGACCCGAATGTTTTGTTATGATAACGTAGTCTTCTACCTAGACCCAAATGTTTTGTAAGTAAAATGATAGTTTTTCCTTCTTTTTGACTACTACAAACAGTAATTAGTCTAACTCATCGTCTATGTGAATATATAACAAAGTAAAGTAAATAGGAAAAATATAATCATGTAAGTGTTATCCCTGGATACCAAGATTAACACACCATCGCATTAAGCGATATGTATAACCTAATGAACCTCTGAAGATGGTCCAATTGTCCTCTGTAGCAGCAGCAGGATGGAGGAAGGGTTAGTCCCATAGCCGACTCCTAATATAAGTGGTAACCTAATGATCATCCGAAGATTTTCTTCTCATCCTCTGTTGCAACAGCAGGATGGATGAATGGTTAGTTTCGATATCAATCTATCTATTATAAGTGATAATCGTAGAGATCTATAGATGTTCATCACCCATTGGTGCTAACAGCTGGGTTCCAGAATGGTTAGTCCCATCTAGACATCCCGTCGAACAGGGATAGGCAGGAACATTTACACAGAAGGTACGAATAAATCTTCCTCATAACTCTAGGTACAAGTATCCAGGTAAGTGAATACAGGATAATGTATCTATGTAACAGTACTAATGTATGGTATTCATGTAAGCCTATTCAGATAAATATATCTATGAAAACGTACTTATGTATCATGTAATCCTAGATAAATGTACTCATGTATCATGTAATGTACTGGTATAGACTCATGAATGAACTGACTCTTCTGTAATTCCTTCTAATAGGAATATTAGTTTGTATCTTCTAACTATCCCTATGATAATTAACTGAAAGGCAATTGTTTGTTCAAGAAGGTAGACGTAATGGTTTTGCAAGATATCTAAGCGCTTTGAATAATAATTAAGAGTGACTTGATGTCATCCTAATAAACAATTCAAAACTAATACTTTTGTTTATCAAGGTATTTTAAGATAGAAAACCATTTCATGCATCACATTTTGTAGTATGTGAAATCTGCTGGATGAAAACACAGTTATAAAATAAATATGAGTGATTTAATAACATGTTGTATTCTACTTGTTTTCCTCCCCCATTAAAGCAGTTAAAAACATTTAAAATATTCATTTAGGGGTATGAACTCACCTATAGATGGTGGTTTGGATGAACTGGATGGTGTAGAATTGTTAGGTGTCAAGTGAGGACTTGTACACACACTACGATCCTAATGAACTTATAATCACACATATATGCACTCAATTAGTCTTAAATTACTAATTGCTAAAGTTAACACATCCTAGAACATAATAAACACTTTATATAAGTGTTTTAAGCCCTAAGGATTGCATCTAAGCTATTGTGGGACAAGGCACTTGTGTTTAGGGTTCCAAAGGACCCTATACATCAGTTTACTCTCCATATATCCTCACACATGGAGTTTATGGTTGTAAAATCTTGAGTTTACGGCCGTAAACTCCCAAACTTGGTGGTCTTTTGTGTTTTGAAGTTCTAAATGATCCCTAGAATTATTCCAACTTGGTGGTTTAATTCTTGGAAGGGTTTAAGGCATAAAAACACCTCTTTGAGGAGTTCACGGCCTTAAGGCCATTTCCATTAGAGTTTGCGACCTTAAACTCTTAAGGATGGGTGTTTTTGATGCTTTCAAGTCTCATACACATGTAGTATAGGTTTTAAACTTTTGTCCCAAACCTATGAAGGCCTTAGGCACACTTTGGTGCCCTTCATTGATGTTCACGGCCCAAGAACCTTATTAGGGCCGTGAACTCACTTTGAGGGGTGATTTTGATGTGTTTTGGTCCTTCATTTAAGTGGGAACAATTTCTAGTAAATGTCTAAGGCTTTAGGTGCCTTAAAAGCACCCTTTTGTCCATGATTTTGGAGTTCACGGTCCAAGATCTTCTTGGGCCGTGAACACCCAAACATATGTGTTTCTTGGTTGATTTCTTGTCCCTAATACACTTCTATACAAGCCCAAAGTAGTATCATATCATAAGGGAAGGTCTAGGCATTGTTTCGGGAGTTTACCGCCCAAGAACACCTTGGGGAGTAAACTCCAAAATCTAGTGATTTAGCAATCTAAATCATGTTATCAACACATAATAAGCTTTCTAACACTACTAGAGAGAGTTGCTCACGTTTTGGTATAAAAAACTGAAGATCCGTGAGAGAGAAAATGGCTTTTCTCTAGTTGGAAATCCGAATAATGAATGAATTTGGTTCAGAATTCTATTTATAGTCCTGAGATATTTTTGGCAGAAAATATTTTTATTCCTAAAATGATTTCTCATATAACAGAGTGTTGGAATAACAATGTTGCACTAAACCCTAGTGCATCCACTCTCCTGATATCTCCTGAAGTGTAAACCCTGAATTACTCAAACTTACATGAAAAAGTCTGAAAATTAACTGTGACTGCTATAACTTCTATTAAAGTGATATTGTTTGTACAGAATGGAAATTTCGGGTTGTCACAGGTGTCACGGTCAAGTCGTGATTGTGTGTATCATTAAATGAGTCCACCAACCACTTCCCATCCTCCTGTCTTGTTATTGGAAGTTTCGCTTGGCATCCTGTTCTAACATCTCTATGACGTTTTTTCTCATTTTCACTTGAAGCATTTTTGTCCATCCGTTTGAAACCTTCTTTGTTGCATACATATATCTTCCGAAAAGGCTCATTTGTTTTAGGATTTTTAACTGTGTCATCTCTACGTATTCCAAAGCCATGCAAAAAAGAATGATCATTATAAAATGTATAGGCGTCATCGGGTGTATCAAAAACTTTTCCTAGTATCCTTTCATCGTTAACATCATCTTCGTCAAATTCAATGTTCACTTCGAAATCGTTAAGTTCTTTAGAATCATATGTTGCTTCTACAAAATCATTTGTGTCAACATTTTCATTTATATACGGTTCGATAGCCTGATCAGCTGCTTCTGTTTCAAACATCATAACCTACACAAAACCACACGTAAAAGACAATAAGAACTTGACCCTATTAATGCCATTCTAGTAACTTTTTAGAGATGGTCTAACATTTTCATTATATCAAAAGCAATAAATTATACTAAATTTGATCAAACAAAAGCAGCATGGATAATAATAGAACATATGAAATGTAATAATAGAACATATGAAATGTAATTTAGAAGGGTGTAAATTACATAATTTATGACTAAATCCTTTTGATAATGATTTTTGTAACTAATAAAAGAATAAAAAAACACTTGCAATATATATATATATATATATATATATATATACATTGGATGAACCATGCGAGAGAATTTAAGAATACTATATTGAAGAACATAAATACTCAAATTGATAACAATAACTAATTAACAATGAATTGAATTTTATAATAAAGAAAAAGATAATGAATGAAGTAGCGTGAACCTGTGACGGAAGAATGACGGCAACCTACTGGAAAAAAATTCACAACCGGCTAAAGGTAATAGGCAATTATGGAAGCAACAGGGATCGACTTTTAGTTGTTATTTTTTTTTCAATAAGGAAACAAAAGTGTTTAAGGAAATTTTTTGTTGGATTATAAATTTATTGCTTTTGATATAATGAAAATGTTAGACCATCTCTAAAACGTTACTGGAATGGCATTAATAGGGTCAAGTTCTTATTGTCTTTTACGTGTGGTTTTGTGCAGGTTATGATGTTTGAAACAGAAGCAGCTGATCAGGCTATCGAACCGTATATAAATGAAAATGTTGACACAAATGATTTTGTAGAAGCAACATATGAATCCGAAGAACTTAACGATTTCGAAGTGAACATTTAATTTGACGAAGATGATGTTAATGATGAAAGGATACTGGGAAAAGTTTTTGATACACCCGATGACGCCTATACATTTTATAATGATTATTCTTTTTTGCATGGCTTTGGAATACATAGAGATGACACAGTTAAAAATCCTAAAACAAATGAGCCTTTTCGGAAGATATATGTATGCAACAAAGAAGGTTTCAAACGGATGGACAAAAATGCTTCAAGTGAAAATGAGAAAAAATGTCATAGAGATGTTAGAACAGGATGCCAAGCAAAACTTCGAATAACAAGACAGGAGGATGGGAAGTGGTTGGTGGACTCATTTAATGATACACACAATCACGACTTGACCATGACAACTATGACAACCCGAAATTTCCATTCTGTACTGTCACACCCCAAAACCACGAACGGCGGAAACGTTCAGGGGTGGAGGACGTCATGTACAGTATCACAACAGTGTAATATAATAAACAAGCAACAACATCATCCATTGCATTATAAGTAATGTTTTATACATGTGTGTTCTCTCATTGTAATAAGACACCAAAAATATACAATCAAAATAAAAGACGAGACTTGTCTATTGCGTCTTCTCAAAACCTGTCCTCCGTACCTGTCTACTGGCGACCTGAGAATACAAGTTATTTTGACAGAGAGTATCAGCTTTAAAGCTCGTGAATTCATAAGTATATATGTGTCATTGCTTAGTTTGTGAAAACCTGCTATGAATGCCATGAAAATCTTTACTTTGAAAAGATTGAGATAAGTATGAAATCCCTAGAAAAACCCTTATTTTCTATAAGTTTGAAGTGTAGTCTTTTACCAAGACCCAAATGTTTTGTATAAATGAAGTGTAGTCTTCTACTAAGACTCGAATGTTTTGTATGTATAAACTGTAGTCTTCTACCAAGACTCGAATGTTTTGTAAGTATGCACTGTAGTCTTCTACCAAGACTCGAATGTTTTGTATGTATAAACTGTAGTCTTCTACCAAGACTCGAATGTTTTGTAAGTATGAACTGTTTTCCTTTGTATAGACTAGTACTAAAAGTATTTAGTCTAACTCATCATTTATGTGAAAGACATCACAAAATAAAGTAAACAGGAAAATATGATACGGTAAGTATTCTCACTGGGTACTAGGACCTACACTACATCGCATAAAATGAAAGTTAGACCCTGAGGAATGTCCGAAGAGCATCCCCTCATCCTCTGTAGCAGCAGCAGGATGGAAGGAGGGTTAGTCCCTGCATCGATCTCTTGACGTAGATCGTCAACTTAATGATCCTCCGAAGATTCACATCTCGTCCACTGTTGCAACAGCGGGCGGAGGGATAGTTAGTCCCGTCACTGACCATTACTCAAGTGACTACCTTAGACATCCGTAGATGCCATCTCTCACTGGCGCTAATCAGTGAATTCGGAATGGTAAGTCCCGCTGAAAACATCCCTCGAACGGGAATAGGAAAGACAATTTATACAGTAAATACTAATAAATCATCCTCTTAGATCTAGTTCAAGTATCCAAGGTATGTAAGTACAAATAATGTACATACTAAGAAGTGTTCCTGTCTAGAATTCATGTAAGTGTACTCATGTAACAGATAAGCATATGTAAACATATTCATGTATCATAGAATCCCAAGTACGTGTAATCATGTATTAGGTAAGACCTTAGTATAGACTCATGAATGAACTGACTCTTGTTTGATATTCTCTAACTATCCCTATGATAGTTAACTAGAAAGTATATTGTTGTTCAAGTAGGTTTATGCAAGATATCTAGGAGCTTTGAACAATAATATAAAGTGACTTAAAGTCATTATACAATTCAAAACTAATACTTCTGTTGTCTAAGTATTTTAAGATAGAAACCCTTTTCGTGACTTCTTTTGAAATATGAGAAATCTATAGAATGAAAACATAGTTATAAAATACATGAAACTGATTTAATAATATGTTTGTTCCTACTTGTATTCCCCCCCCCCCATTAATGCATTTAAAATCATTTAAAACATTGATTTCGGGGTATGAACTCACCTGTAGTTGGTGATTGGAATGAACTGAACGGTATCGGATGGCTAGGTGTCAAGCGAGAACTTGTGCACACACTACGATCCTAATGAACATATAATCACACATATATGCCCTCAATTAGACACCAAAGGCTAATTGATAATGTTTAAGACATTTTAGATACCGATAACACTTTATGTAAGTGTTTTAGCCGTAAGGACTTCATCTAAGCTATTGTGGGACAGGGTACTTGAGTTTAGGGTTTCCAAAGGACCCCATATGAGAGTGTACTCTCTCTTAACCATCACACATGGAGTTTACGGTTGTAAACTATGGAGTTTACGGCCGTAAACTCCCAAACATGTGTGTTTGGTGTGTTTTGAAGTCCAATATGCATTCTAGAGTTGTTCTAACCTAGTGGCTAAGTCCTTGAAAGAGTTTAGGCCTAGAAGTACTCTATTTAAGAGTTTACGGCCTCAAGGCTAATACCCTTAGAGTTTACGGCCGTAAACTCTAAGATATGTGGGTTTTTAGTTGTTTTCAAGCCTTTGCACTTGTGGGACAAGTTCTAGACAATTGTTTAAACCTAATGAGCACCCTAGGCACACTTTGGTGCCATCCTTTTGGTTTACGGCCCAAGAACATTGTCTTGGCCGTAAACTCACTTTGATAAGTGATATTTATGTATTTAGGTTCTCATTTTTGTATGAAACAATTCCATGAAGGGGTCTAGGGCTTTGGGTGTCTTGAAACCAATTTGTGTCCATTCTTATGGAGTTTGACCTAAGCATCTCTTGGCCGTAAACTCACTTTGATTGTGTCTTTTGATGTGTTTAGGATCTTAAACTACATGGGGAATTAGTCTAGATGCAAACCTTAAAGTCCTTTGTCAAAATCCACCATTTGTGCATGTTTTATGGAGTTTACGGCCCAAGAGTGTGCTTGGCCGTAAACTCCCAAATCTTGGGTGTTTTGTGTATGATTCCTTGTCCTTAGTGTGTTTACCTAATGTCCTAGGGCCTTGTTCAAGCATCGATATCGGTTTTGTCCTTGTTTCGGGAGTTTACCGCCCAGAACACCTTAGGGAGTAAACTCCTAGATCTCATGATTTAGCCATCTAAATCATGTTATGAGCACTTAATATGTGTTATAACATTAATATAAAGAGTGTCTCATGTTTTGGTATAAAAACCGAAGATCCGTCAGAGAGAAAATGGCTTTTCTCTAGTCAGAAATGTGAATAATAATTAATTTAGTTCAGAAAACTATTTATAGTCCTGAAATATTTTGGCAGAAAATATTTTATTACTGAAATGATCTCTAATGAATTAGAGTGTTGGAATATCAGTGTTGCACCAAACCCTAGGTGCACACACTCTCCTGATAGTCCTGAAGTGTAAACCATGAAATTCTCAAACTCCCACGAAAAGTCTGAAAATGAACTGTGACTACTAAACTTCTATTGAAGTGATATAGTTTGTACAGAATGTAAATTTCGGGTTGTCACATCATCCCCCGTTAGAAGGAATTCCGTCCCGAAATTAGAATGTAAGCAAAATATGAATTTACAAATAACTAAGAAAAAAGGTGAGGGTATTTCAGTTTCATCTGATCCTCACGTTCCCAAGTAAATTCCGGTCCACGCTTTGCGTTCCAGCGCACCTTCACTATCGGGATACGGCTCTGCATTGTTCGCTTGACCTCTCGGTCCATGATTTCTACTGGTTCCTCCACGAAATTGAGGCTCTCGTTGATCTCGATCTCGTCGAGTGGAATAACAAGAGTCTCATCGGATAGACACTTTTTCAAGTTCGAGACGTGGAAAGTAGGATGTACGTTACTGAGTTCTTGCGGTAGATTGAGTTTGTAAGCTACAGGGCCGATTCTCGCAAGAATCTCGAAGGGCCCTATGTATCTTGGATTGAGCTTCCCACGCTTTCCGAAGCGTATCAAGCCCTTCCAGGGTGAGACTTTCAGTAGGACTCGATCGCCCACCTGGAACTCCAATGGTTTCCTACGCTTGTCGGCGTAGCTTTTCTGTCGGTCTCTAGAGGTTTTTAGTCGTTCACGAATTTGAACGATCTTCTCGGTCTTTTCCCGAATGATCTCCGGACCTGTGAGAGTGCTTTCGTGTCACACCCCCGAAC